CGCCCCGTTGTAAACAAAAAAATGACGTCTGGTCAACCTTCATGATGGGTAGTGGCAGCTAGGTAAGATATGTCTATTACACAAAATATTAATTAATAATTAAGTACCTATAAGGATCAATAAAAACCCCAATAAGCAAATCATAGCACTTTGTAGGATCATTGGAATTACTTCCAGGAGAGACGCTGATATTGCTCAGTTTTAATTTAGATACTGATTCTGAATAATTATCATTAATTTTGATTTATTTTATTAAAATAATTAATATAAATCAGTGGTAAATGTTTTAGCTATATAATAAAGGAGATATTGAACTTATATTGGGGAATATTGGCACTCGTTGCCGCAACTCGTGCATTTGTAAAGCCAACTCGTGTCAATATTCACCAATAAAAGTTCAATAACCCTATAATATAGAATTCTATTTCCCTTTTAGTATGATCATAAAACAGACACGTTCTCGATGAAATTTTGTGGAGGAAAATTTTATACTATTTCTCGGAATCCTCTAAAAAGCATTCGTAACCTAACCATCATCAAAATAAAGAATATCTCTAGATGACGAAAAGGAAATCTTTCCATGTAATAATACCATGGATCAAACCGATGATTTCAGCAAGCAGACTATACATGCTGCACGGTGCGGTGACGGATTGCTTGTATGTTGTTTGACGTCCTATTCGAGAATTGTTCACTCATATAGAGACGTCACCGAATGTCGGTGTAGGGCTTCAAATTTAGACCTATACTCTGCACTTAGGGCCATTGAGCAGTGATAGTTCGTGCCAACGCCTACCGTGACACAGGGCCTCGGTTTTTAAAGTCTCACCCGAAGAACCTATGACTCTTATTTTATATGTCGGGCGCTTGGCGAAGGAACAGTCACAGGACCTCGGTTTTTAAGGTCTCACCCGAAAGACCCTTGACTTTCACTTCTAATGCCGGGCGCTTGGCGAAGGAACAGCCACTACCTATGTAAGACGCGGCTCGGCGAATGAGAATCGAACCCGGACCTCTCGATCACTAAGCGGACGCCATACCACTAGGCTCTCAGATGCGTAATTTTAAAATCTTAATCTGGACTTGCTTCCCGATAAATTTCTGGTTTATTATTATTTCATATCCTTTCCTTAGCATACATGTATATAAAAATGCGCAATGGACAAAAATATGTATTCTGACCCCTGCGTTTGGCTGCAGGCCCCAGTGGAAGATATCGTTATATATTTGGAATGGATCGTAAGAGAAAGTACTATTTCATCAGTTGTTAAAATTACAATTCTATACCTTCTGGATCGTAAGAGACAGTACTATTTTATCAGTTGTTAAAATTACAAACTATGCCTTCATTCTGTCTGATTTAATAGATCCTCAGATATGCGACAACAAGAGGTAACAATGAACTGTATACATTTATAAGAAACCTTGCAATTATATAATGTGAGTACTTTTACATTATGCGATAAGAAAATGTGTCATTTTTAATTATTACATGTGTATTAATAAAGAATAGAAAATACATAATTTACCAATCCTTAACATCATTTCTTTTATAAAGCCTCAATTTGTCACCATCCTTAAGAAGTCTTTTGAAATATATTTTTTATACTTCACTAACTTTGATCTTCTTTTCTTTACTCATTTCCATGATTTCTTTCACACGACATAAATCAAAATCTATAGCCTTATATATACGAGGGTTGTCCAGTAAAATCATGGACAAAGGATTTTAAATGAAAAATAATTCGTGTACTTACTGAAATTTTCAGCAAGTATTTACATATCATACATGAGTATAGCTTAATACTTTGACAAAATATAGACAATAATAAGGTTTTTATTATACTAAACGAGGCCGAGTCTAATTCGAGTGCGCATGACTTTGCGCAGTTTTTTTTAAATTTCATGCAGTCGACGGTGCGACATTACACCTTTCCTAAGTATTTAATAGCCATTCTCTGTAACCACTTAAACTTTTGTGGCACGCATAGTCACAGATTTTTTTCAAATTTGGCTAGAATTTACCACCTCATAAACTACTCCAAAAAATATTGTTAGATCATATGAATGTTGAGTAGTTACCATGGAAACGGTGTCTAAAGTTGATTTTTTCTGAAAAAAATGCAATTTTTGGGAATGGCAATCAATGAAATGCGGCTACTTCAATCCATGTTACTCACAGAAATAAAAAGTATGACATCTGATTTTAAAAGGTATTTAAAAACATTGTTGGTATTCAGTCTATAAATATAAGAAATCTATGATTAAAATAGCAGACATTCATTTAAAAATTGAATTATCTCCCTTTGATAATTGTGAGCTCTTTAGTGCGAGAGATAAAAAAAATCATTGGACAAAACTGACTGGAAGTTGTTAACATTATCAACATGTATCCTGGATTTCAAGTAAAATCAACTGGTGTTTTCTATTTATTTAATATGCATACAAATTTTAACCGCTTTGTTTATTTCCTGCATGCAAAAGAATAATTTTGATGAGTGAACAGTGGCGAAATGTAAAAGACCACATGGTACAGGAAATCAGCTCTGTGCATATTCATGATATTGAAGCCTAAGCCTCAAGGTCTTAGGAGTTTCAAAATGGGGATAAAAGATAAACTTGAGATATCAGAATTACATTGAATTGGTTGTAAGAAGAGGTACAATGTCCTAGTCAGAGTGACATACATGTATTATAATGAATACAGCCTTGGAAAGTCAGTGCCTTTTTAAAACAAATGTGAAAAAAAACTGAATTATAATGTGAGAGAACTAGGCTATTGATTTTACCTAAATAATTAAAGTCAAGCTACATTTACATGTTTGTACAGAACTGGAAGTTGAAGTTGAATATTGAATGATGTATGTAAGTTGATGTCTGTCATTAAAGGGATGACCATTTGATGCGAAGGGGGGGGGGGGGGTTACAGATTTTAGAAACTAAAGTCCGTTCTTGAAAATGTTGGAAATAAATAATCTGTCCTCAACTGGCAGGAAAATAAATAATCCATCTTTGATAAGTGCTACAACCTCCAACCCAAAGGCACTTGTTTCGGTAATGATTTTTAACCCATATTATAATAAGTATTATTATTATAAAAAATAATAAAAAAAATTATTCCCAAAACAAATGCCTACGCCCCCCCCCCCCCCATTCCCTTGGGGCGGGGTCGATTGTTTATTTTATTTTCAGACTTTTTTCAGTGAAGCAAAAAATGCATAATCTGTCCTGGATCATATTGGAAATAAATAATCTGTCCTTCAATTCCATGAAAATAAATGATCTGACTCGGAAAAAATTTGCCCCCCCCCCTTCTGAATCAAACGGTCGTCCCTTAACCCATAGTCAACGCAGTCATATTATGCAGTTTTAAACAGAATTTATGTCATTCATAATTTACAATTTTTATATGATGAGTGTTTTCACTTGATAGGATTTGCTACATTTGAAATATAAACTGATACTCTTTACACCCTCATTCTAAAATTAAAGAGCGTAAAAGTATATTTTATCTCTATTTAAAGGCTACATGTAGAAAAAAAAATCCACACCTAAAAACCCTGTATTTGTGAGGGATGTAACAGAAAACTCAATCTTTTTAATACTACTGTTTGCCTTTATCTGTATCTGATTCAGAAAAAAAGAGAGAAAAGTTATCTGTGTATATTTCAGATTTGAACTTCTTATTCAGTGACTTTGAAAATATTTACAAAGAAATTGATAATGTTCCTGATCCAAGTATTTTCTTTAAGGGAATTAATGATCTTTATCCAAAAAAAAAAAAGAATAAAAAAATTTTTTAAGGTCAGTAATGAAAATGTTTTGTTTTGTAATTGATTCCTTTCGACCAGTGAAAATTATACTTTCAATTTTTTTAAAGGGGGGGGGGGGGGAGGGGGTGTGTGTGTGTTTGCATAGAAATGCAAATTGTCTGAATCATATTTAAAGTTATCATTTTTATCAAGTTTATCATTTCTCTAGACTAAGATAAATGTAGATTGAACCTTGTAGCAGTAAAATTAATAGTAAATCTGTGTAGCTGTATTTTATTAATAATGAAAACATAAATAAATTTCTGACAAGCCCCCCACCCCCACCCCACCCCTTTCTACCAAAAGAAAAAAAATCATAAAATTAAACACAAAAAATCTATACTCGGGAATGGGGGCGGGTTGGGGTTAATCACTTATGAATGAACCGCTTTCTTTCATATTTATATATAACGTTTCTTAATGTTTCACAACGGATCCGTGTTTTTCTTACAAATGCCTCTTACCCATTTATTTGGGGTAAGTGCTTTTACATTGTTCCTGGAAGGGATGGAGTAAGTCCTGGTCATTGGTTACTTTATCATGTTCATTTTAAAAAATGAAAACCGTAGGAAGGAGGCAGGGACAGATTATTTTCAATATTTTCAAGGACTCAAGTTTAGAAATTATGTTTACAATACAAACCATAAGGTGTACAATTCTATCAAGCTTACCAACCAACTCAAACTTAGCAACCGACATAAATTCGAGAAAACACAAAATCAGATTATCTGAGCAGGTCCAGCAGATTTTTACAAAAGATTATTATTGATTAAATATTGGAAGTAGCAGATCTATTACTTAAATCCAGGCATATTTGGGTTAAAATATTTATCATCTCAATGTCTCTTAATTTTCAAGTTTTTAAGAATAATACATGATAGATTTTTACTGTATTGCAAAGTAAAATGGATTTAGGCTTTTTCTGTCAACTTCTCTGAAAAAAAAAGTCACAGGAAAACACATTCTGACTGTCACTGGAAAAGTGTGGAGTGTTGAATAGGGTCTAAAAATGTACATTTTAGAACAAGGACTTAGTCTACCAAAACAACAAAAGAGTGTATTTACATGCACGTAGCACAATGCTCTACGTACAAGTCACTCAATATGGTACGTGTATAGGCTTTCAATATTTTGAGTTGGCTACTTTTTTTTCAATAAATGAAACCATTCTCATAGCATTTTAACATTATGCATCAAGCTAAAGGTGAGAATGTAATACCAATTTCAGTAAAATGCATTGTATATAAAACAGGATACGACATTCACAATATCCGAGTTTAAATGCTATACTAACAAGCTAATTCAGAGAAGCTGTGTCCCCTGCTTAAGGAAAAAAAGAGCATGTACGGATCTTGAGGGGTGGGGTCGGAGGATGGTGGGGTTGGGGGAACGGGATACTTTAAGAGTTGCGGGCTGGACCAAAGGGAGTTATGATATAAAATTTCATTGCAAAAGCTTAAAAGCTTCTTGAGATATCGCACGGAAATGAAAAGTTTACACACAAACAGAATGTATAAATTTTTTACCTTGACCTTTGACCTTTTGAACTCGAAATCAATAGTGGTCTTCTTTAGGCCATAGGGAGTTTCAGTGTAAAATTTCATTGCAAAAGCTCGAAGTTTTTGAGATATTGCGCGGAAATAAAGTGTTAAAACAGACAGAATTATGATTCATGACCTTCACCTTTGACCTTAAAATCAATGGGGGTCTTCCTTAGGTCACAGGGAGTTGTTATATAAACTTTCATTGCAAAGGCTCAAAGGCTTCACGCGACATCGTGCAGAAACAAAAGTGTTGCAGAAAGACAGACTGACAGACGGATGGACGTCAGACAGACCTAAATAAATATCCCCCACTTTAAGTGAAAGTAGGGGATAAAATGGCAAATTTTATATACCATTGTGTCCTTGAACTTTGACCTTCTGTCCGTATTTACCAATTCATGTGATGCTAGTTACATGTATTGTCCACCAGAACTGTAATTTTGTTTATTCATAATTACGTTGTTTAAAACACAAGTATTATTTATGGCATTGAAGAAACGTGCTTAGTTTCCTTACTTTTCCATCTAAATCGAGCCATATTGACCTTGAACTTTGACCTTTTGTTATGAAAATTGATTTTTTTTTCTTTGTTTTTGCTATTGTGTACTATATGTACAAATTTGGTTTTAATCCATTTTAAAATACTCAGGTATTTATATGGAAACTGATAGTAGATACCTATTGCCCTTGTCTGGAATTCTTAAAAAAGCATTAGTTTGTAACCATGGTAACATTAAAACAAGATATGAATACCAAGTGGTTCTTTATGGTTTATATTACAACTATATATGGGCTTTCAAACCAATGTATTTATTTTTTCCAATATGTCCGCAAAAATTTATACCAGGCTTTTCAAAAGAGCCTAAAATCTACAATTTTTCCTTAGAAAAATCATACTTAAAAAGGGGGGATATTTTTTCTATGAGGTTAGGTTACTCAAATACCAGGAATTATCTAAAGAACTATAAAAATGATGTATTTTGACAAAAAGATAAAGTCATGTAAATATCTTTTTGTATTAAAGACTTTTAATTAGTCAAAAATGGTCATTTTTCATCAAAATTTAGCATTTTGTAGGCCATGAAAAATGTATGTTGGTTGCCATGGTAACCATTGACCATAGCAACCATTTTATTATGAATTTTAGTTTCATACATCAATATAGGAATGTGTGCCAAGTTTCATAAAAATCCAAGACCTAGCGTGCCACACTCCCTATATAAGAGTTTAAATGCTTACAGAGAATGGCTATTAATACAATACAAAATTAACATGATCTGTAACGTCTGTGGGGCTGAAAATGTGGTTTTAAGACAATTGATAGGGAAAAAAGGCTGAAATGGCTCTAACGACATCACTGTTTTCCGGTTTTGTAAGCGATGCATGATCGCTTCCATAAACTTTTAATAAATCCTAGACCAACCCAGATGGTATACTTTTTTGAAATATCACAATTTAGTGACTTTTTACAATAACACTCATGTATTTGACTGAAAAGAAGTCGCTAGGACAGTAATACAAACAATAGGCCTAAGGGCCTTAACGGTCACCTGAGTATAATACAACACTGTAAAGAATCCATGGAAGTATAAAACAAAAGTAACTGATAGACGAAGCAATGTTACCCAAGAATTTCAAAAATCTGGTAAAAATACCCTTGTTATAGTAACGTGCTAGACCCAATTGATCTCCTCGGGATCATACTTGGTTTTCCCAAGTCAATCTATTGGCTGCAATACTGGTCACCTTGTCAGGTGACATTTAAATATTCATTGCACGGGTTTTAACTGACCGCTGTTAGCGCCGAAAGTTCTATAGCCATTCGAAGGCTCTTTTCAGTGCAGATAACACGTCTTTTTGCCACTCTCTATTTCCACGTAATATGGGCGATTCGGGCGATGAGCTGACTTTAGATACAGATAAATTACCAAAAGACAGCACAGGAGGGACTTCTTCATTAGAAATCTCGGACATTAATTAAAATTAATTAGTTAAACTCTTCACGGGAGTAATACAGTCTCAATTCAAAACTTTCTCGGGGCAGTTAAAAGCGGAACAGTCCGAATCTATTTCGAAGAAACTCAAAGAAAATTCTCTGCACAAGATAAAGTCCGAAGGTAACCGAATTCAGTTCGAATTTAATGCCGAATTGTTAGAGGGCTTAGAGAAGATGGAGTCAAGAGCCTTTGACTTGAAGGATTCTGAATCATTGAAAATTATTTCCGACTTAAATAAAAAATTAAAAACGCGTCAGAAGTATATACGGATAGCTGATTCGTCTCCGGCCGGTTGGAAAACCGTCAACGAATACCAGAGTAACGAGATCGCAGACAACTCTGATGACGAAAAGAAGATTCGCAGCGCCGAAAACAGGGCCCTTAGACATCAGAAACAAAACAAGAGATTTCAGCCTTATGGGACACAAAAAACACCACCGGCGGCAGCAGCGGGATCTCCAGCTCAACTGGCTTTTCCTGGGGTTTCTAGTACTTTTCAGCCCTTTCCTGCATTTCAACAGCAGCAGCAACAGCCATTTCTCTACGGCCAGGGCAGAAACAAGCAGTCAAGGAGACAGCCTATGCCGTACGACGTTTGTTTCAACTGTTTTGCAACAGGGCACTGGAAGTCCAACTGCCCAAAGGGAAAGACCACTCAAAGTCAATGATAAGTATACAGGTTGTTTGACTTGTGTTCACGAAAAGATTCAAAAGAGTAAAACAGAAAGTAGCATAAAACACAGTTTAAAAAGACATTACAGTAAATGGGAAGAAATTGGGGCTTTTACTTATATTTTGAAAGTCATACATTCTGGTTACGAAATTCCTTTTATTTCCGTTCCACCGTCTATGATTTTTCGAAATAACAAATCTGCAAGAATTAACGCTGACTTTGTCACATCAGAAATATCCCAATTAATTAAGACAGGTTGTGTTGTAGAAGTTACATACAGACCACACATTGTAAGTCCCCTCAGCGTCGCGGAAAACAGGTCGAAAAAGAGATTGATACTAGATTTGAGTCGACTTAATAATTATGTGAAATATGAGAAAATAAAGTTTGAAGATTGGAAAACAGCCCTAGATTATTTTGAAAAAGATTGTTATTGTCTAAAATTCGATCTCAAATCTGGCTATCATCATATAGATATTTCTGAAAGTTTCCAGACATACCTCGGGTTCTCATGGAACGACAAGTATTACTGTTATACCGTGCTCTCGTTTGGTTTGTCATCCGCTCCATTCATTTTTACAAAATGCCTAAGACCTATTGTTAAATTCTGGAGAAAGAGGGGTATAAAAATAGTACTTTACCTAGATGACGGTTTTGTGTTTGCCCCATCTAAACAGGAATGTTTTTCAGTTTCTGAATTCATTCAAAAGAGTTTGTCAGAATTTGGGCTACTTATTAATTTTGAAAAATCTGTATTTTACCCTACCCAGAATTTAGAATGGTTAGGAATTTCTTGGTATTCAAAGTCATTTTCTATTTCAGTGCCAACAAGACGTCTTGACGACACAGTTGCTTGTTTGCAGAAACTAGTGAAGAGTTTTCCTAAAGTGACGGCCAGAGAGTTGGCAAGAGTGGTCGGAAAGATTATGTCAATGTCACCAGTAATGGGTAACATATGTAGTATAATGACCAGATTCTGTTCTATAGAGATAGCATGTAGAAAGTCATGGGACGATATTATTGTATTTACACACAAGAACGAGGTTCTAAATGAATGTAATTTTTGGTTACAATGTATTTACTCAGAAAAAAACAAGGTATTTACACATACTGACAAAGAAAGGTGTCATCATTTACTCCGATGCCAGTAGTCTAGCGTCAGGAGCTTACACTGTTGAAGTTGATTCAAATATTTCACTTAATGTGGAAAGAGTTTGAGAAGGGTATGAGCTCTACTTGGAGAGAGCTTCGGGCGATTGAATTAGCTTTAGCTTCATTTAAAGATAGTTTAGTGAATAAAGAAGTAAAATGGTTCACTGATAATCAGAGCTGTGTAAAAATTGTTCAGTCTTGCAGTATGAAACATCATTTACAATCTCTTGCTTACAATATTTTCAAGATGTGTGTAGAACAAAAAATTTCAATTGACATACAATGGATTCCCAGACTAGAAAATGATAAAGCTGATTTTCTAAGTAATATCATAGATCACGATGATTGGGGTGTTACTGCAACATTTTTTGAATTCGTTAACAATTTGTTCGGAACTTTCACTGTTGACAGATTTGCAAATTATAATAATTGTAAGTTGGGGCGGTATAATTCAAAGTTTTGGAATCCTGGCTCGGAAGCTATTGACTGTTTTACACAAAACTGGGAACATGAAAACAATTGGTTAGTACCCCCTATTCACTTAGTAGTTCGCGCTATAAAACATCTAATAGCCTGTAAAGCTTTCGGGGTCCTAATTGTTCCAAACTGGCCCTCCGCTGTTTTTTGGCCGTTTATTTTTGATAAAGATATGACGTATAGATGGTACGTTAAAGATGCTTTACTATTCAATGAATGTACAGATATACTTATTCAGGGTGATAACAAAGCATGTTTGTTTGGGTCAACAAATTTCACTTCTGGGATACTGGCAGTAAAGTTAGACGCAAGGTCTTAAAAATAGAACGCTCAAGTCTGTTGATAAACTCATGTCGAGTTCAGCATGTATAATTATGTAGATACGTTTTGAGGTGTATTGCAGATGAGCTGGGGCCCTGGTACACCAGATTGTTTGTATTGGTTAGATGTATTGCAGTTGATATATGGTCCTGATACATCTATTTAGTCGGTGTATTGCAGTTGATTGAGAATCCTGATACACCATGACCATTGTACTAGTTTCAAATTAATCATTGTATTCCGTTATATACATTTTTCAGATATATTTAAAACGGGACGGTGGTCAGATAGTGCAAGGATCGAAGATCAGCGGTTACAGCAACTAAGGGACCTTTTACCAACTTACTGCCTTAAATCAAGAGCAGGGAATACATTAAGTCAATACAGGTACGCATTCAATGCTTTCTGTCGATGGTGCGGCGCTTTTTTGCCTTCTATTTCTGCATTACCCGCAACGGATGAACACGTGGCTCTATATATAATCTCTATCGCTAAAGATTGCAAATCATCAAGCAAAATTCAATTAGCTACACATTCCATAAGCTGGGCCCATCAGTTAGCAGGATTAAAAGATCCATGTGAATCTGCTTTAGTGAAATTGACAAAGGAGGGTGCAATAAGAGAGACTTCCAAGCCTGTTGTGAAAAAGGAACCAATCACACCAGATCATTTGAAATTATTGGTTCAGAGATACAAATCGAATAATTTATATAATATGCGTACTTTATGTTTGTGTTTGTTAGGTTTCGCAGGGTTCCTCAGATTTTCGGAGCTCGCAAATATTAGACTTAATGATATATCATTTGATGATGTGTGTATGAAAATTAACATTGTCAAAAGTAAAACGGATATTTATAAGGAAGGTCACGAGTTGTGTATTGCTAGAACTCATGGTGATACTTGTCCTGTACATATGTTAGAAGAATATATAAAATTGTTAGATGCTGAAGTTGATTCATCAGAATATTTATTCAGATCTTTGACGTTCTGTAAAAATACAAATACATATAAAGTTAGAAGAGATAATCGGCCTTTGTCTTATACTAGAACACGAGAAATTGTTTTAGATGTTTTTGGAGAAATAGGGTTAGATAAGAGTAAATTTGGTCTTCATAGCCTACGGTCAGGCGGGGCCACTTCCGCTGCAGCGGCTGGTATTAGTGATAGATTGTTTAAAAAGCATGGGCGGTGGAGGTCAGAAAAAGCTAAAGACGGCTATGTGAAAGAAAATATTCAGGAAAAATTATTTGTAACCCAAAACTTAGGTATTTAAAGTTTATATACAAGTCATTCCCTTTATCGCTAGCTCTTCTTTGTCTTTCGAAAAAAGTAAACTGCACTATCAGAGCGCTTCATATCCTAATATACGTGTTTGTGTTTATTTTATAAATTATTTATGTTCGTTTGAGTGGCACGAATAAGAACATAAATGTATTTATCAAAGGTTTTAATAACACGTGTTCGTGTTTATTTATATCTGTAATCTATTGGCTGCAATACTTGTCACCTTGTCAGGTGACATTTAAATATTCATTGCACGGGTTTTAACTGACCGCTGTTAGCGCCGAAAGTTCTATAGCCATTCGAAGGCTCTTTTCAGTGCAGATAACTGAATCCCCACCCCACCCGCCCTTGCTTTTACATGTTTAATAAGATTTTATATTAAAAAATACTGTTTTGTTTTGTAGAAAGGAAGACACAGAAGAATTGTTTATGACATTTGTACATATGTGTAAAAAGTAAACTGCACTATCAGAGCGCTTCACATCCTTATATACGTGTTTGTGTTTATTTTATAAATTATTTATGTTCGTTTGAGTGGCACGAATAAGAACATAATATATATATATATATATATATATATATATATATATATATATATATATATATATATATATATATATATATATATATATATATATATATCCCATACAACTCCAATTTTTGTACCCGGAAAATTTAATTTCAATATATATTTCCAAATTAATTTACGTAAAGATGTGGCGCTTTCGATATTCAAGGGACAAAACGGTGCTTTCCTTGAATATTTGCCTACTGGTCAGTTATAATCTTCATCTGTTTTAAAAAAGATTCTTCACAATACTCTCAGTATCGCTTAATGTCATGAGGTTGCTCAGCCCTTTTTAACGCACCCGCAGAGTGCCACAACGATAAATAACATATGATTGGGGTTCAGTAAGGGTATTTAATTCAAAAACTATTCATCCCTCTGAAAGAAATATCTTAAACCCCTAAGCGCCCCATCCACCTTGTTTGGTCACCGTCACCAGTATCGTATTATGACAACAGCCAATACAAAAGTGCATTGAAAAAATGTTCTAAGTAAGATACAAGTTGCTGTCCTTTAAAAAAAAGGACTGCAATACGTGGACCATATGCATGTGTTTCTAAACGAAATTCAAAGAAAATTTCTAGATTTAGTGATTTTACAAAGGTGTAATTAAACTTAATTTTTGTACATGTATCTTGTAATTTTCATCGTTATTTAAGTCAGCTTAATTAGGCTGTAATGATAAAAAAAAAATCATGACCTTGAAATGATATGAAAATGAAATGTTGATCTAGGTATCTATCACAATTGTAATGTAGCCTTAAAAATTAACAACAGAATTAAAAGAGGCTTACATGTAAGCATGCAGGTATGGTTGAATTTTAACTCCATTGGCGGATCTAGGGAGGGGGAGTTCGGGTGCTGGAACCCCTTTATTTTTGCAGAAAGAGGAAGAGAGAGAGAGAATGTTTTTTTCTGTAATATAGATATTTTTACGTCTAATATTTTCAATAAAATAAGTACTTCAATCTCTGCCCTTTCTGCTTTCTAGATAGCGTTTTGCTTATTGCTTTCCTCCGTGTACCTTCACTACCCCGGCCCCGGGCCTCGACCACCCACACATAACATGAAAGATTTCACTTTGATATCATCGGAAGATTCCGGCGAATGTACTGCTATGTCATTTTTGGACCATCTTCTTAAGTAACTAACTTTAAGAAGAATGCATAAAAAGTCATGAAAGGGAGTATCCATAACAGGATATTTATCTCCTTATATTATGGGGATAT